AGAAAAGGAAGGAAAGGGGGAAGGGAGGGAAGGGAAAAGGAAAAAAGAAAGGGAAGGGGGAAGGAAAAGGAAAAAAGAAAGGAAAGGAAAAGGAAGGAAGGGAAGGGAAAAAGGAAAAAAGAAAGGAAAGGAAAGGAAAAGGAAGGAAAGGGAAAAGAAAGGGAAAGGAAGAAAAAAAGGAAAAGGAAGGGATGGAGAAAGGAAAGGGAAAAAATGAAAGGAAAGGGGAAAGGAAGAAGAAGAAAGGGAGGAAAGAATGAGGGAAGGATGGAGGGTCACCATCAACAAAGAGAGAAAGTTACAGAAGACAAAGGGAGGGAAGGAAGGAAAGAAGGATCACCATTGAGAAAGAGAGTTACAGAAGAAAGAAAGAAAGAAAAAGAGAGGAAGGAAGGATCGCCATTGAGAAAGAGATACAGAAGAAAGTCAAGGAAAGAAAAGTAAGGAAGAAAGAATCATGAAAGAGAGAGAGAAAGGTCGGTCACCACTGAAATAGAAAGAAAGGAGAGACAGAGAAATAAAAAAATACAAAAGAGAGAAAGGGATCAGGATCACCGCTGAAATTGAGAGGAAGTCATAAAAGAGAGAGAGAAAACCCGAAAAGTGAGAAGGGGGCCAGGGTCACCACTGAAACAGAGAGATAGTCGACAAAGAGAGAGAAATAGAAAATCATGAAAGATGGGGTGAGGAAATAGAATGTCACAAAAGAGGGAGAAATAGAAAGTCACAGAAGAGGGGGAGAGAAAGAAATAGAAAAATCACAAAAGAGAGAAGGGGGAAGAGTCACCACTGAAATAGAAAGTTGAGAGAAGGAAGGAAGGAAGGAAAGAAAAAGAAAGAAAGAAAGAAAGAAAAATTCATTCTTTGGCTTCCTTCCCTGCAAGATGGCTAAACGTTGGCATTACACCAAGGAGCAGCATACTGCCCAGACGGAGAATCTGCCTTGAAAAGCTCAGGAAGGGATGAGTGGGAGAAAGGCACTCTGGAAAGAATGTAGAGAAGAGCAACAAAGATGATTAGGAGACTGGAGGCTAAAACACATGAAGAACGGTTGCGGGAACTGGGTTTGTCTAGTTTAATGAAGAGAAGAACTAGGGGTGACATGATAGCAGTCTTCCAATATTTGAGGGGCTGCCACAAAGCAAAGGGGAGGTCTACCTATTTTCCAAAACACCTGAAGGCAGGACTACCTGTAGAACAATCATGGGAAGAGAATAATCCTGCATGAAATAGAACTTTTCAAAAAATAGCTTGACAGAGTAAATAGAAAATGGTTAAGGAAAGAGGATGTGAAAGCTGCTTGGGACAAGAGGTGAAAAAAATGGATTATATACAATGTTATAAAAAGCATGTAGGATTACACTAATGAGAAATATGAAAAGGTAGGCTTGGTAGAATAGAAGGTGTGAATTTCTGTGGGTGAGAAAAAAAAAAACATGGGAATAATTGTATGGGGAAAAAATGAGTGCGGCTGAAACTGAGTCATGTGCATATTGAATCAGGAATGACCCCAAAAAAGAAAATGTAGTTGAGAGCAAGGAACGGTGTGGATGAAAAATGGGACAGAAAATGCTGTTTGATTTTGATGGACATTTTTAAAAAACGGTTTGGACGTGGATGAAGAGAGCCGAACAAGGCCTCCAGTACGGTGAAGGGAACTGAAAATAAAAACGATGAAATGATTTTGAATTAGACTGAAGTGAGGCACCGCTGGAAGACATGGTTCAGATATTATTATTATTTTTTGAGAAGGACAGCGATGGGCAGATGAACAGAAGCTAAATAAATGCATGATTTTTGTGTGTCCAAGAAAAACAAAATTGCTAAAAAGTCACAAGGAGTGTGAGAATGCTGAAAAGTGCTAAATTGTAACTAGAGGTTGCCATTGGCTTACAACATTCACTTAGTAACTGTTTGAAGTTACACTGACACTGAAAAAAGTGACTTATGAACATTTTTCACACTTAATGACCATCGCAACGTCCCCGTGGTCACGTGATCAAAATTCAGAAGCTTGGCAACTGGCATGTACTTATGACGGTTGCAGTGAGCTGCCACACAGAGAAAGGAGTCAAGCTATTTTCTAAAGCACCAAAGGCCAGGCAAGGAATAATGGATGGAAACTGAACAAGGAGAGATTCAGCCTGGAAATAAGGAGAAACTTTCTGACAGAACAATCAACCGATGGAACAGAAGTTGCCCTCGGAAGTTGTGGGAGCTTCATCACTGGAGGCTTTCAAGAAGAGACTGGATTGCCATTGGTCAGAAATGGTGTAGGGTCTCCCGCTTGGGTGGGGGAGGTTGGACTAGATGATCTACAAGGTCCCTTCCAACTCTGATGATCTGTTATCAGTGTCACATGGTCCCCTTTTGCAACCTCCTGACCAACAAAATGAAGCGGGTAGCCAGATTCACTTAACAACCATGTTACCAACTTAGCTTAGCAACGGTGGCCAGAAAGGCTGTAAGATGGGGCAAAACTCACTGTCTTGCTTAGCGGTGAAAATTTCAAGCTCGATTGCAGTCGTACATCGAGGACTGCCTATATCATTGGAGCAATCTATATACATAAAAGCGAAATACCACTCACACATCATCACAAAATCTCCAGAACCGTAAAGCCTACAAACTTGAAATTTGGCCCGTATCTTCCTCTTGGTTTCTAGGTGCTCACTAAGAAAAGATTTTTCGAAATGACCATCACAGCATCAGTATTTCCATTATTATTATTATTATTATTATTATTATTATTATTATTATTATGCTCTGATTTTAAGGAGTTCTACTCCCACTCCCCACCTGAAAAGGAATCTTTTCCAAATGCAAAACACAAGCAGAGGAGTTTCAGTTTCATAGCACCAAGCAGCTTTAGTCCAGAACAGTTGAGCTAAGCCACACCCAGGCTCCTTGCTGTCTCCTTGCTCACACAGCAAATACTGTTTCAGTTTCCAAACAGCCCTCAACTCTGTTGGGACGCTAGCCAGATGAATACCGATGGATGCTGGTAAGGCAGAAATTTTTCCCCCTTGTTTTCCTCCCCAAAAACTTGCCCAACCACATAGTTTCGTAGCAAAGCACCGGTACCCTGCTAGTGTTAAAATGGAGGTGTCAAGTTCTTCAGGAATGACTATTAAGGCTTGTTTTAAGGTGTGTGAAGCCTACAACTTGGCAGAATGCCCTTATTATTCCCTTCAATAATAGGAAAAGTTATAAAACTGAATGCAGCCGAAGGAGTATCACTTTCTTAATTGTACCTGGGAAGGTGCTTGACACAATTCTAATTGAACAGGTATGAAAGGACAATGTATGTTCATTATACAGAATGGGGAGAGAGAGAGAAAGAGAGAGAGAGGCATTCGACCTCCTAGATCGGTACATTCTCTTAAACTTCTTAAACTAGCTCGAGTAGAAGCTAGTCACACAATCATGATTATTAACATACTTTTCTGACTGCCTGGGAATTAATTCAGACTTGAATAAGCACACAGCAGAGGTGCAAAACCCCGAGAACGGGGTATATATATCTGCTAAAAAACGTACTAGCTGTGTTTCCACGACGGTAGAGTGTGTTGCACAGGAAATCCTGGACTTCCAACTGTTCATTTAGGGACAATTTGAAGTTACAAGGGCCCTGAAAAAAAATGACTTATGACTGTTCTTTCACACTTACAACTCTTCCACAGGGTCGGCTGGTTAAAAATTTGGACGCTTGGCAACTGACTCGTATTTACGACGGTTGCAGTGATGAAAGTTGACGACGAATCCAGACTCAGTGAACAACCGCGTTATACTAATGTTAACGACGGAAGTGATTCACTGAACAACTGTGGCAAGACCGGTTGTAAAACAGGGCAGAAGTCACTTAACAAATGTCCCATTCAGCAATAGAAATGTTGGGCTCGGTTGAGGTCATACGTGCATGCATGCCCCAAAACCTGGAGAGACTTTTGCAGGCAGTTGCCAGGGATCAAGATGACTGAAAAGTGGATACACACATAACACTTAAAAATGTGTGACCCTGTCAATACTTCTCCACCTTTCAAAAATTAATCATTTTCACGCCGTAACTGAGACACCATCAGTAAACAAAGACAAATTCTTCATTGCTAAACAACAAATAATGGTAGAATAGAATGGAAT